TTCAAATGAGTGACTTCACTTCCTGGTCACTTAATTTTAATACTCATCAAAGGCTGTTTTTATTTTAAAATAAAATTGTAGGCCAGGTGCAGTGGCTTAAGCCTGTAATCCCAACACTTTGGGAGGCCAGGGCAGGTGGATCACCTGAGGTCAGGAGTTCAAGACCAGCCTGACCAACATGGTAAAACCCGTCCCTACTAAAAATACAACATTAGCCGAGTGTGGTAGCGCATGCTCATAATCCCAGCTACTTGGGAGGCTGAGGCAAAAGAATCGCTTGAACTTGGGAGGCAGAGGTTGCAGTGAGCCGAGATCGTGCCATTGCACTCTAGCCTGGGCAACAAGAGCGAAACTCTCTATCTTAAACATAAACATTTTAAATTTTGTTTTCCTATGTGATGGTTTTAATTTTTTTCTAACTGTTCTTTGCAGCTAGATACTAGGGTTACTATACAATTTACACTCTTATGTGGTTCCTCATCTAGAAGTTGCATAAGGTGCACAAAAGTGTATATATGTGTGTACGTGACGGAGTTACATATAAATAACCTGTAGGACAATCTGACTTTGGTTTTGTGCAGAAAATTCATCTGGAAACACTGAAGGTGCCTCTGTTGGCAGGACTGCACAGCCACCTCTGAAAAGGTAGGTCCACTCGGCGTGGAGGAGTTGGCTTTTCTACCCAGTAAATAAGACTGATGAATATGCAAGTCTTTCTCTCTCCTTCTAGCTTCCACCCACAAGTAAAATGGTTCCAAAAAGAAGATGTCATCATCTTAAAGATAAGAATAAGGAATGCAAAGGACTGCAAATGTCAGTATTTAAGAGATAGAGTCGTTTTCAGGTAGGTTGATGTATAGTCATATGAAGTAGAATAGAAATAATTTCTAGCATTTTAAAAGGCTGACTTTGTTTCTTTTTACAACCCAGTGCTTGGGTGGGAGACAAGTTTTACCAGGCTGATCTGGAGCTGCAGGGCAACATAAGGCAAGATGACTGCAAATGCGTGATTAGAAACGACGAACCTCTAATCACTCTGGCCAAAGAGAGAAGGGAAGCGTGGTGTCGCCTGCTCAGACGTCGGGTGAGTGGGGCGGCGCGGCAGTGGGAGGTCTCCCTGCATGTGTCAGAGTCGCCCACTCACTGTCAGCCGTTCTCTTGAACAGAACCCCAACGTGGCTTTTGATTTTGATCACTGGGAAGACTCTGAAGAGGACAGCCACTTCCCCAAGGGTAAGGCGTGGAGCACCCACTCTCCGCGGGGTTGTAGGTCCTGAGGGCAGTGAGGGACACGGTCACCCACGTAGGGATTCAGCGTTGTTGGAAATGGGCCTTTCATGTCAAGCCCTGATAAATTCATTTTCTCTTTGTCAGTCTTGGTGCTAAATGTCCTGGTTTGAGTACTTATCAACCCTTGGTTATAAACATACCTTTTAATAACACATTACAGTATTCTTCCTAGAAGAAGAATTTATAAGCAGACAAATTTTACCTGCTCCTTTCTTACCTAAAATAATGAAAATATACAATAAGATACGTAGAGCTGGAACCCAAGGCACTCTTTTCTGCATTGACCCAAATAATGGGGGGAAAGAAAAGATCTGATGATCAGTCTGCACTTACCTGTTGTATCTTACTCCTTTAGAAGTGAACTGTAAAAACCTGCCATACACAGCTGCAGAGGAAGTTGAAGACAGTAGCAGCCCCTCAGAGGATGACGACAGTGAGAGAGAATGAGAAGGTGAATGACGTCCTCAAGAGCGGCTGGAAGAGGCTGAACAAAAGTCAGGTTATGACTGCAAGTTAAAAAGACAATCAGTCATAGCCACATCTTTCCTTTTTTTCTTTTTTTGAGACAGAGTCTTGTTCTGTCGCCCAGGCTGGAGTGCAGTGGCACAATCTCGGCTCACTGCAACCTTGGCCTCCCGGGTTCAATCAGTTCTCCTGTCTCAGCCTCCTGAGGAGCTGGGACTACAGGTGCCCACCGCCACACCCAGCTAATTTTTGTATTTTTAGTAGAGATGAGGTTTCACCATATTGGTCAGGCTGGTCTTGAACTCGTCGACCTCAGGTGATCCGCCTGCCTTGGCCTCCCAAAGTGTTGGGATTATAGGTGTGAGCCACCACACCTGGCCAGCCAATTCTTTCTTTACCTCAAGGATAAATGATTACTGTCACCCTGTGGTGCTGGACTTGGTAATGGTGAGAAATACTTTGTTAACTTAAAAATAGGCTGATGACAAGACTATCAAAGGAGGGTGGACACAGAGAAACAGCAGGTGTGGACTGACCCCTTCGGCTTGTCTGTCCTGCCCGGCACCTCTCGCCTCTCACACTGGCAGAACAGATGCGCATCTTAATGATGACATGTGCTGTCTAGAGTCAGTCTATCCATTTTTTTGTTCACCTAGACCTCTGTTTGATACATTGCTACAAACCTGATCTTACGCATATAAATCGAGGTCTCCAACGTACACACTTACACTCAGCCACTGTTGAACCAGCCCTTCCAACCATGAGCTAGTGGGATTGAACATACCCATCTACCTGCACTGATAGTGTTAGTGTCCTTGGATAGTGCTAGCTCCTCAGAGTAAGCTGACTTCTGATGAAGAGATAGAAAAAGGATAGAAATCAGATTGCTCAGTAAGACCCAGGGCTTTCCGGGGTGAAGCTGCTGGTTGGATACTTCCCAGGCTCAGGTGATCCTTTCACCTCAGCCTCTTCAGTAGCCACGACTACAGGTGAGCACCACCATGCCTGGCTAATTTCTTTGTGGTTTTCTGTAGAGGTGTGATTTTGCCATGTTGCCCAGGCTGGTCTTGAACTCCTGGACTCAAGCGATCCATCTAAACAATCCCCTGGACCTGCAGAGTGAGTCCTGAGCAAATGGCACAAAGGTTACTGTTTAGTGGAAACTTACAAGGGCCTGTGTGGTGCCTGGAGGTGATGTTTAACACCTACATGCCATGACCCCTGCAGACATTTGCGACCCCATTCCCATGTGGCTGCAGCACCCGGGGTCACCAGTTTGGAGGAGGAGTGTGTGAGGTCATGGCCACTGCCAGAGGCTGGTTTTTCATGCTTTGGGTTTCTTTGTTCAGTAGAAAGGTGACCTATTGAGAAATTAAGAGTCCTGTGCGTTCAGTATCCATTTGTCAGCTTTGCCTCGGACTGGAAAAGAATTTGGATAGAACACAAGTGTTGTGTGATGGCCCCAGAGCTTAATTTTTTTTGCATCAGAAAGTGCCAAGCTTATGTATGTCCCAGGCAGAAGCCAATGCCTGAACTAGAGGTGAACTTTGTCATCCAGGCTGTTCTGTGAGCAGGTGTGGATCACACTCTGGCTCAGTTTCCTCATCTGTAAAATGAGACATCCCCTCGTTGTGTGGCCTGGCCTTGTCTCAGGGAGCACCCACTGAGTGCTGCTGGGTTGCGCTTTGCCCTCCCCCAGGGAGGACGTGCTCTGCAGCCAAGACAGCTGCGGGAGTGTGCGCAGGTCACTGCTGTGACCCTTGGAGGTGACTGGCAGGTATCAAATGGGCCCGTGAAATAAGATGATTTTCCTTTTTCGTAAATTGGGCAGGCTCTTGGGAGGTAGAAAGTTCTGGTGTCTTTGCTGGCAAAGGTTTTGACTGTGGAGCACTTCTGACACCCGTATCAGTATCCGGTTCTCTGCATGTAGCTGCTGCCCCTCTCGGTGGAGGTCTGTGGGCGGCCATCCTGTGGCTCCCTGTGCACGCCGGCTGCCTGCCGTGCACGCCGGGGTGCGGAGTCTCTTCTGTACAGCATAGCAAATGATAATAGCTAGTAATGGAGCTGCACGAACATGTGCTTCCCATGCAGGGAGGAAATCCGTTTCTTTCTTCAGACACTCAAATGTTCTAATATCTGAATCTCTAAAAGACATTTTGTGGGACATAGGATGCTGACTATATGAACAATTAGTAAATAATTGGTTTTCTGCACTGCTATGAATATGTCTGATTTCAAGTTTTGGGCAAATATCTAAAATACAAAGTGAAAGTGCCTTTGTCTCTAGCTTCTAAAAATCACTGATAGTTGTGGTATGGATGTCTTTTGCAGTATATCAGCAATAAAATTTCATTGTTTTCACAGAAATGTTGCTTTTTACCTTTTTTAAACAATATTTTCCCTGAATGCTAGAATAAAATCAAACTTTATTAACCACACTTTCTGGTTGGACTAAAATGCCCGTAAAGGCTGCTGGGGAGCCAGTGATGCTGACCGGCGATGCAGGGGACCCTTGTGATGAGCACACCAGCTGTGGAGGGTTCTGGATAGAAGCTCAGCTCTTGACATTCATCCGGGCAGATACGCGCCATGCACATCACAGGGTCAGTATGGGATGCTGATACTTTCGGGTTGGGGGAGAGTGGGTGATAAACATTTGTACTCCAATATTTTTATGTATTTATTTACTTCTTGAGTTGGGGTCTCCCTCGGTCATGCAGGCTGGAGTGTAGTGGCATGATAATGGCACACCACACCCTAGACTTCCCAGGCTCAGGTGATCCTTTCACCTCAGCCTCTTCAGTGGCCACGACTACAGGTGAGCACCACCATGCCTGGCTAATTTCTTTGTGGTTTTCTGTAGAGGTGTGATTTTGCCATGTTGCCCAGGCTGGTCTTGAACTCCTGGACTCAAGCGATCCATCTGCCTTGGCCTCCCAAAGTGCTGCGATTACAGGCGTGAGCCACTGCACCTGGCCAGTAATTTACTATTTTTAAAATCTGTATCAAAGCAAAAATGTCATCCATTTTATTGACATTGAGTTTAAAGAACACCCTTCCTTTAAGTGTGATGTGCCCTTTGTTAAATAGTTGCCACTGTAATGGTGGCTTTTATGCAGCCCTTCTCTAAGCTTCTGCCTTCTGTTAGGTGACAGCTCACCTGACAACTTTAGCAAACACTTGCCACTGCTCCCCTCTGGAACCCCCACCCAGAGAACTAAGAATATCTAAAAGTAACAATATTATAAACATCTGAGTATATTTTATTCATAAGAAAAAAATCAAGAAGAAATAACCACAAATTTTGCTTAAGAAAATAAATTCAGCTTTGACTTAGCTACAAGAGATGGAGCTTGTTACTCAGGTTCTTCCTCCGGTGGGACCACTTCCATGAGCATCTGAAGGTGCATGGTAATCGGCTCTGAAATAAGAGTCAAAAATGAGTGGAATTAGAAGACCGAAATTCAAAAGCTTCACTGGGGTTGTGGATGAGAGTGACATTGTTCTCATTCCTTGGGGAAGTGTCACCTAGACCTTGCGCTTGGGGGATGGCCGGTGTTTGGAGCTAACCAGAACCATCCTTTGGTGCCGCCCTGGTGCTCTGGAGGTAAGTTACTTCCTCTTAAAGAATTCGGAATTTTATTGCCACCAAACAGCTTATACTCTAGGAAAAATTTAAATGATTATGTGTATACATTTACTACCACAGACCAAGAGTTGGCTATTTATTCTGAAGTCACTGTGACTGCATTTTGTTTAAAATACAGATTGCTTGGTTAAATATTCTAGAGCTGAGAAATAAGACATATTTTATACCATTAGGCTACAAGTTATCCTGGGTAGATTCTGTCAGTATAATCAAATCCAAGTTCAGTGGCACGGGGGAAATGGCTGTTTGCTTTAGATTTTCTTTCTATAGAAGTGTGCCTGCAACCTCTCTCCTTCTCAGCTGAGGGTTTGGATCCGAGTAAGGAGGTAGGGGTAGGCCTAGTGCAGTGGCTCACTCCTGTAATCCCAGCACTTTCTGAGGCTGAAGCAGGAGGATCGTCTGAGCTCAGGAGTTTGAGACCAGCCTGGGCAACATAACGAGACCCTATCATACATACATACATACATACACACATACATAAATGGATTTTTAAAAAGAGGTGGGGTTTGTAGGGAGCTATTTCAGGAAAGGAAAATTCCCGGTGGTCTAACATAACCATATCTTGCTTTTGTTTCCACTTTGTTATTCAACATGAAATCGATTCTCTCCCTTGGTTACAGCACCATTGTCAGGTAAGCAAGGGTCCCGGGGTTCACAGAGGTGGTCGTGGAGGTGGGGAGAGAATCGGGCACGTGCCCAGCCTGAAGAAAGGCACTAGAACATCCCTGTGAGTGGGGTCTAGAGGCCCTGGCAGCTTTCCTGCCTTTTGGTTGGGTTTCACACTTTCCTGGCTTGTGTATTCCCCCAAAATTGCAGGAATAGAAATAAAAACCTCCTAGGAATGTCTGGAGGGGTGACTGCTTACACTTTTCAGTTCAGTCAAGCTGAACAGGAGAAAGGAGCAGGCTTTTTTTCTTTTTTTTGAGATGCAGTTTCGCACTGTTGCCCAAGCTGGAGTGCTGTGGCTCAATCTCAGCTCACTGCAACATCTGCCTTCCGGGATCTCCGCTCACTGCAACGTCTGCCTCCTGGGTTTAAGTGATTCTCCTGCCTCAGCCTCCAGACTAGCTGGGATTATAGGTGCCCACCACCACGCCCGGCTAATGTTTTGTATTTTTAGTAGAGACGGTTTCACCATGTTGGCCAGGCTTTTGATCACATTCACTTAATAAATCTTAAGTGGCTGTTTCCGGCTGCCACAGCCAGAATTAAATTGTGCACAGCCCAATTCCTGTCCTCAGGGAGCTCCTGGGAGAGGAAGAGGGAGAGGATCAGGAAGACCAGGAAACAGATCACCTCACAGCCTCGTGAGCATGCCCAGGAAGTCTTAAAGGCTTTTTATAAATGGGGTTTTCTGTAGTTGAATCTGCACTGTATAAGATAAAAACTGTGAATATAGTACAGACTTTTTTAAAGGTGTAATTCAGTTTCTCTTGATATACTTTGACACAAGTGCTTTCTTTTCAAAAGCAAAGTGGCTACTGTAGCCAAATTTATTTATTTTATTTTATTTTTTTTTGAGACGGAGTTGCACTCTTGGTACCCATGCTGGAGTGCAATGGCGTGATCTCGGCTCACCGCAACCTCCGCCTCCTGGGCTCAGGCAATTCTCCTGCCTCAGCCTCCTGAGTACCTGGGATTACAGGCACACGCCACCATGCCCAGCTAGTTTTTTGTATTTTTAGTAGAGACAGGGTTTCACCATGTTGACCAGGATGGTCTCGATCTCTTGACCTCATGATCCACCCACCTCGGCCTCCCAAAGTGCTGGGATTACAGGCGTGAGCCACCGCGCCCGGCCTGTAGCCAAACTTTTAAACAATTGTCCTAAAAGTGATGAGGGTCAGGACTGCTAACTAATGAGCCCCATGCCTTTGGCATCATTAGAAGGCTTGGACCCCGGCCCAGTTCCCCAGGGCAAGTCCATGACATTTTGGGTGTCTTTGTGATGCTGCCAGGCCTCTTAGATGACGTCTGCCTATCAGGCAAAGGAGAATGGTGTTTCAGAATGAGGCGCATGATAGTGGGAATATGCGTAATTGCTACTGAACCTTGCACTAAAAAGTGGCTAAGATAGCAACATTTATGTTGTGTGTCTTTTGCAATTAAAAAGAAAATGGGACCAGGTGTGGTGGCTCATGCCTGTAATCCCTGAGCTTTGGGAGGCTCAGCCTGACGTCAGGAGTTCGAGACCAGCTTGGCCAACACGATGAAACCTTGACTCTACTAAAAATACAAAAAAAAAAAAAAAAAATTGTGGTCACTTGAACCCGGGAGGCAGAGGTTGCAGTAAGCTGAGACTGCGCCACTGGATTCCAGCCTGGGCAACAAGAGCAAACTTCCATCTCAAAACAAAAACAAAACGGGCCGGGCGAAGGGGTTCACATAATCCCAGCACTTTGGGAGGCTGAGGCAGGCAGATCAGTTGAGGTAAGGAGTTCAAGACCAGCCTGGCCAACATGGCAAAACCTCATCTCTACTAATAATACAAAAATTAGGCCGGCATAGGGGCAGGCACCTGTAATCCCAGCTACTTGGGAGGCTGAGGCAGGAGAATCCCTTGAACCCAGGAGGCAGAGGTTGCAGTGAGCTGAGACTATGCTACTGCATTCCAGCCTGGGCAACAGAGTGAGACTGTGTCTCAAAAAAAAAAAGTTGCAGTGGCTCAGGCCGGTGGTAGTCCCAGCACTTTGGAAAGCCAAGGTGGGAGGATCGTTTAATCCCAGGAGTTTGAGACCAGTCTGGGCAACCTAGCGAGACCCTGTCTCTACAAAAAATAAAAAAGATAGCCAGGTGTGGTAGTGCATGCCTGTGGTCCCAGCTGCTTGGGAGGCTTGAGCTTGGGAGTTCAAGGCCATAGTGAGCTATGACCATGCCACTGGCACTTGAGCCTTGGTGACAGGGCAAGACTATGTCCCTGCGCCCCCACCCCCAAGAAAAACCAGAAAATGCTGTTTTCTCTCCCTACTCATTACAGGTGAGACACTGTGACAGAGGTCTTGGAGTCAGGACGGGTGAGGACGCCATGCCTGCCTGCACCTCACAGAAGCCAGGCAGTCCTTCTGTTGGTACTTACTTGAGATTTTCTGAGCCCATCCAAACTTGAAGTAGACAAACAGGAAGTAAAATATAAGGCCGCTCAGGATAAACAGCACACAGTAGAGGTACTCCCACTCGGGTTTGCTGATGATCGGAGCCAGAACCAAAAACACGGAGATGAGCGTCACCAGGACAGGGATGACTATGGGCACCTGGAGGCAAAAACGGTAGGCTGTGGCCATGGGCACTCGTTTTCTTTTGAAATTTTTCACTTAAAATGATATAAAGAGAGTAGGATGAACTCCATGCACCCCTGCTACAATTTCAGTAATTTTCATGTAATTTTGCCAAGCTTATTTCATCTACTCCACCTTTTTTTTTCTTTCTTTTTTTTTTTTTGATACGGAGTTTTGCTCTTGTTACCCAGGCTGGAGTGCAATGGCCCAATCTCGGCTCACCGCAACCTCCGCCTCCTGGGTTCAGGCAATTCTCCTGCCTCAGCCTCCTGAGTAGCTGGGATTACAGGCACACATCACCATGCCCAGCTAATTTTTTGTATTTTTAGTAGAGACGGGGTTTCACCTTGTTATCAGGATGGTCTCGATCTCTTGACCTCGTGATCCACCCGCCTCGGCCTCCCAAAGCACTGGGATTACAGGCTTGAGCCACCGTGCCCGGCTACTCCACCTTTTTAAAATTTTCTTTAAAAGAAATTACGGGGCTGGGCTTAGTGACTCACACCTGTAATCTCAGCACTTCGCGAGGCCCAGGCAGGCAGATCACTTGAAGTCAGGACTTGGAGACCAGCCTGGCCAACATGGTGAAGCTGTCTCTGCCAAAAACACAAAAATTGGCCAGGTGTGGTGGTGCTCACCTGCAATCCCAGCCACTTGGGAGGCTGAGGCAGGAGAATCGCTTGAACCCGGGAGGCGGAGGTTGCAGTGAGCTGAAATCATGCCACTGCACTCCAGCCTGGTCGACAGAGTGAGACTCTGTCTTTAAAAAAGTTAAAAATCGCTTTTTTTGTTTGTCTACCACCTTTCTTTTCCCTAAAATATAAGGAAAATATCAGACATCTTGTGATTCTACCTGTACAATATCCAGTATGCATCTCTACCTGAAGAGGACTTTCTGTTCTTATCCTGCTTACCACCCTGTCTCCTTTTTTCTCTTGTCGCCCGTTTGTGGAGAGATTGGATGCTTCCCCTATGCAGTGTTCAGTGGGCGCTTTCCCTGGTTGCCTCCTCCTGGTGCCATTTAACTTGCTCCTCCATCTCCGGTATTTCCTACAAACTGTTAGATTTAGGGACAAAAATGCTTCACCATCGGAGCAGTGCCCTTCCTTCCGTGACACACCACGAGACATGTGATGTTTAATTGTCCCACCTTTGAACTGCTGAGGTTGACAGCAGGCCCAGGGCAGAGGAGCCGTTTAACTCCACTGTTACACATTTCTCCAACAATTTTTCATGGTTTTAGAGTGAAACTGAAGATCAACTGTTGAGGCTTGGTGGCTCACACCTGTAATCCCATCACTTAGGGAGGGCGAGGTGGATCACCTGAGGTCAGGAGTTCAAGACCAGCCTGGCCAACATGGTGAAACCCCATCTCTATTGAAAATACAAAAAAAATTAGCTGGACATGGTGGCACGTGCCTGTAATCCCAGCTACTCGGGAGGCTGAGGCAGGAGAATCGATTGACCCCGGAAGGCAGAGGTGGCAGTGAGCCGAGATTGCGCCATTGCACTTCAGCCTGGGCCACAATAGCAAAACTCCATCTCAAAAAAGATAAACTGCTTAAGGGTTTTAGCATCCACTGATAATCATTGCCTACTTCATTATTTCATCAGGGGTTGGAAAATGGTGATTTTTCTAATTTGTCATTCCTTCCTTAACTATCTGAAATGCTATATGAAGCACTTCAACTTTCTGGTTATTCTAAATCGCAGTTTGTACGGGAAAGGCAGCATAAATGCTCTATGCTCTGCGTTTTCAGAATGACAAGTTGGACCCCTGAGACCTCCAAAGGCAACTCAAACCCGTGGGTTTTTCTGTACGTGGTGAGTTTTAGTCCATGGTAGTCACTGTTCACATTGTTCAGAAGGTCCTGTGCCGGGCAGCAGAGCCCTTCACACTGTCCTGGGCTCTGCGGGTGGAACACCAGTGCTCTTCAAAAGCCTCTGTTTTCTGGGTGACAGGAAGTGCCAGACCTGGGTTTTCATCCACCTCTCCAGAGAGCTTTGTTTCCTTTTAGCAGGAAATGGCATTTAAAGACCATAATCTGGAGGCCAGGTGCAATGGCTCACGCCTGTAATCCCAGCACTTTGGGAGGCCAATGCGGGAGGATCACTTGAGCTGAAGAGTTTCCGACCAGACTGGACAACATGGTGAGATTCCCATCTCCACACACACCCAAAAATGCAAAAATTAGCTGGATATGGTGGCGTGTACCTGTAGTCCTAGCTACTCTGGTACCTGAGGCAGTGGAATTACTTGAGTCCAAAGGGTCAAGGCTTTCAGTGAGCCGAGACCGAGCCACTGTACTTCAGCCTGGGCAACAGAGCGAAACCCTGTCTCCAAAACAAACAAAACCTAATATCAATTCTGATAATTCTTTTCACTGTGTGGTTATATTACCTACTTGTTATAGAGTAAGGTTTCCTTCCATTTGTTTTTCATTTTTGAGATTCACCTTTTCCTTTTTAATTTTGTTTTCTAATAGAATTTTTTACTTGATTTTGCTTTATCCTCCCATTATTTCTTTTTGAATGAAGACACGTGAAGAAACGCACACATTCGTCTTTCCCTACTCTTACATAAAAGATAGCAAATAACAATTGTGCACCCTTTTTCCTTGAATATATTCCAGCTAGTATGTCACAGTAATATATGAGGTTGTTAATCATTCGTTTTTACTGCTGTGTACCACTGTTTTAGACATGCCACAGTTTATTCAACCAGTCCTGTATAAGTTGACATTTGGGTTGTGTTGGGCATCTTGCTGTTACAATTAATGCTGTTGTCAATGACCTTGTGTATATTTTGTATTTCTGACAGTTTCATTTCGGGATAGATTTCCTCAAAACAGGATGGCTCATGCCTGCTAGATGTTGCCAAATCTCCCTCTATGGTGGCTATGCCATTCGTATTTCACTAACAGCGTGTGAGCGACCACCCTCTCATGGCCTCACTGCAGTCAGACTTTTGGCTGTCTGGCCATCTGACAGCCAGAAGCAGAGTTCGGTTTGCTGGATTTGTTTTGTTTTCATCTGTCAGTGTCATTGCATTTTTCCTTCCCCCTGCCCCGCTCCCACCCTGAGATGGAGTCTCGCTCTGTCCCCCAGGCTGGAGGGCAGTGGCGCGATCTCAGCTCACTGTAACCTCCGCCTCCTGGGAACAAACAATCCTCCCGCCTCAGCCTCCCAAGTAGCTGGGATTATAGGCATGTGCCACCATGCCCAGCTAATTTTTGTATTTTTAGTAGAGCCAGGATTTCACCATGTTGGCCAGGCTAGTCTCAAACTCCTGACCTCAAGTAATCGGCCTGCCTTAAGTTTCTTTTTTATTAGTTCCTTTTAAGTGTTGGGATTACAGGTGTAAGCCACTGCGCCCAGCCGGAATTAATGTACTTTTATGTCCTATTTCTCTTATTTCTTCTTGGACCCAGAAGTTTTTTCTTCTGTCGGTTATTTTTTTGGTTTCCTTCCTTTGACCCTCTGTTTTCTAGCATGTTCCTTTGTTCTTATGTTCTTTCTTTTCTTTTTTTGAGACGGGGTCCCTCTCTTGCCCAGGCTGGAGTGCAGTGGCACAATCTGGGCTCACTGCAGCCTTGACCTCCTGGGCTGAAGCTGTTCTTCCACCTCAGCCTCCCACGGAGCTGGGACTACAGGCATGCACCACCACGCCCAGGTACTTTTTGTAGAGACGGGGTCTTGCTGTTGCCCAGGCTGCTCTTGAACTCCTGGGGCTGACCTTCCTCCCTTGGCCTTCCAAAGTGCTGGGACTACAGGTATGAGTCCGCACGCTCAGCCTGTGTTCCTTCTTTTCCTTCTTGCACACTCTTTATTTCTGAAATGATTTTTTTCCCTAACATGATGTTCTGAAGTGCCAGCGGGACATGTCCTCTCTGTGCAGCCCCTTCCCAGGCGAGAGATTCGTATCTGCGGGCTCCAGCTCCTTGACCCTGACGTGCTTGCCAAAGGCCGTGTCCTTGGGCTCTCCGGCCGTTGTTTCTCTTGCTATTGGCTTCAGTGGCCCCTCTGTCCTCCTGGAAAGGAGTTTTTGTGGGGAGTTTCTGGGGTCCTCAAGGGCTTAAGCCACTGCAGCCCTGCTCCACCACCTCCCCTGGGGGGTCCTCCGATCTTCCCACTGAGAACCTCGCTCCAAGCATGCCCTCCCTCCTAGGGACACGTGGGGCTGGAGCTAGTGGGCATCCAGTTGGTGGTGAGACCTGATTTCCTCAATTTGTGTTGATGATGTTGGCTGAAGGGTTTCTCCTTTGCTATCCTACAGGCTGCTTCTGTTTCTAGGGGGGATTTTTTGCAGATTACAAGTCTATGCTACCATGATTTTGCCTGCGATGACTTGACCGTGTGGGTCTGCCCAGCTCCAGGCAGGCTGTGCCATGACTCAGCTGATGCCAGAGACTTGTCCATAGTCAAGACACAGGCCAGAAAGGACCACTGGACATATCTCTGAAAACAAAGTCCTAAAGCTAAAGATGGTAACCTTATTCTTGTCCTAGTTACTTAAGCCCTTAGCTTACCTATCTTTTTCTTAATGTCTGTCATCATAAGAAATAAATAGCACAGCTGAGAGAGAAGTGGACCTCTCTGGTTACAGAGGCAGGCCGCAGGTATTCTTGATCACTTAAAAAAAAATGAATAATAAGGCCGGGCGTGGTGGCTCAAGCCTGTAATCCCAGCACTTTGGGAGGCCAAGGCGGGTGGATCAAAGTCAAGAGATCGAGACCATCCTGGTCAACATGGTGAAACCCCGTCTCTACTAAAAATACAAAAAAAATAGCTGGGCATGGTGGCGCGTGCCTGTAATCCCAGCTACTCAGGAGGCTGAGGCAGGAGAATTGCCTGAACCCAGGAGGCGGAGGTTGCGGTGAGCCAAGATCACACCATTGCACTCCAGCCTGGGTAACAAGAGCAAAACTCCGTCTCAAAAAAAAATAAAAATAAAAAATAAAAATGAATAAGGTAGCTCATTGGATCATAAACTATTCTATGAAGAGTAAACTCCATTCTAAAATATTTTAAAAGAATCAAGTCAGATTGGAACTAGAAGGCATGCCCCTAGCATTTGAAAGAGTTACCTCTATCTCATTCATTACAAAAAACCCAAAGCCACTTGTGACTTCCGGGAATCTTAGCTTACCTTGATCGGCCTTTCCAGGTCTTTCTTTTTAAATCTCATCACAATGAGTCCTAGAAACGTCATGCCATAAAAGAGCCACGAAGCAAAGCTGAAATAATTGACTAACGAGTTTATGTCACCAGGGATGATATAAATAGTTGCTATGACACCCTGATAGAAAGAAGAACGAAATCATAGGTCATTAGTACACAAAACACTGTTGTCATGTCACAGAAGACCGAAGCAGCAGTTTATCTTGTGATTTTGGCATGAGAGGAACTTCCTAGGCATCCCTCGACAGTTGGGGTCAAACTGACTTTGGCTATGATAGCTCTTTTCTATGAAGCCTGCAGAAAATACCTGCGAAATTTCTGAATCTTTGAAATTGTGATTTTAATCTTTGAAATAGTAGGTTGGTGCAAAAGTAACTGCAGTTTTTTGGGGGAATTTTGTTTGTTTTGGAGATGGAATCTCACTCTGTCACCCAGGCTAGAGTACAGTGGTGCCGTCTTGGCTCACTGCAATCTCTGCCTCTTGGGTTCAAGCGATTCTCCTGCCTCAGCCTCCCGAGTAGCTGGGATTACAGGAATGTGCCATCACGCCCAGCTAATTTTTGTATTTTTAGTAGAGATGGGGTTTCACCATGTTGACCAGGCTGGTCTCAAACTCCAGACCTCAGGTGATCCACCTGCCTTGGCCTCCCAAAGTGCTGGGGTTACAGGCATGAGCCACCGTGCCCGGCCAGTAATTGCGGTTTGTTTGTTTTTTTTTTTTTTTTTGAGACAGAGTCTCGCTCTGTCACCAGGCTGGAGTGCAGTGGCGCGATCTTGGCTCACTGCAACCGCCGCCTCCCGGGATCAAGCAATTCTCCTGCCTCAGCCTCCCGAGTAGCTGGGACTACAGGCATGCACCACCATGCCTAGCTAGGTTTTGTATTTTTAGTAGAGGTGGGGTTTCACCATGTTGGCCAGGATGGTCTCAATCTCTTGACCTCATGATCAGCCCTCCAGGCGTGAGCCACCGCACTCAGCCCGTAATGCCGTTTTGTAATGGCAAAAACCACAATTACTTTTGCACTAACCTAATACTGTATGTATTAATATTATATCTGCTTCATACTTGCGAATTTTCCTCACAGAGCGTTTTCAGTGTGGGCCATGGCCCTGGACTGGAAGCTCAGGTCTACTCGTGGTCTGTGTTAGTTGCGTGGCCCTGGAGTGGCATTTCCTGGCTGTGTTTTACTGTCTTCAGAGTGATAGGGCACAGCGGTTCTCCTCTGGGGGAGGGGTATAGACCACCCCTGAGGCTGGGAATGTGGACGGTTGCTCGGTGCCCAGAAAATTGCACCAAACAAGGACTATGCACCACGGAGCAGCTCCCATCAGAGGATGTCAAAGGGGTGGCCACACACAGTGGCTCACACCTGTAATCCCAGCGCTTCAGAAGGCTGAGGTGGGTGGATCACTTGAGGTCAGGAGTTCGAGACCAGCCTGGCCAACATGATAAAATCCTGTCTCTACTAAAAATACAAAAACCAACCAAGCATGGTGGTGTGTGCCTTTAATCCCAGCTGTTCTGGAGCCCAAGGCAGGAGAATCGTTTGAACACAGGAGGCAGAGGTTGCAGTGAGCCGAGATCATATCATTGCACTCCAGCCTGGGTGACACAGCAAGACTCTGTCTCAAAAAAAACAAGATGTCAAAGGGCATTTATTGTACAAGGATCCAGTGACTTCTCAATCATTAGACCATAATGAGAGGCGGTTGTCAGTAACCTCCTGGTAAAATGTCTTACCCTCCTTCCCTGTAAGCTAGTGGACTTTTATATAGGGTTTGTTACCGGGGTCGAGGCACAGACAAATGCACACAGAGGCACTGAGGGCACAAACCATGCCTTCCATGGATAAATGCCGACAAAGGAGCAGTTATTGGGTACATTGTTTGGCTTGTCTTGGGATTCTTTCTATATCCTTTTGATGGCAAGGAATAAGCCCATCTGGGTCATTTGGAGGCCACCGGGCTTAGCAGGGCAGGGCTACTCCCCTGTGGATGGAGGGCCCCTGCCTTGAAGATGGGCTGTTAGCGGGACTCGTACTCACGTAAAAGATGATGGCAGGGGCTGGAGTGAGGCGCTTGACACTGATGTAAGAAAGCACTTTGAGCATGTGGCCCTCCCGGCCCGCCACGTAAATGAGTCTGGAAAATAATGACATGGGAGTCTGCTGACCGGAGTGCAGGCTGTCCGTCCAGAGCCACCGAGGACGTGTGCTCCAGAGTCCACTAAGGAGCCCTCGGGAGGCTCAGGAAGGTTGCTGAGCACGCACCTGGGCTACAGATGAGGCTCTGTCCGCAGGAGAGAAGTAGGTTTTGGCAGAGTGAGTGAGGAGGTTAAATGCACTCAAAGAACAGGTGCAGTGGCTCACAGTTACAATCCCAGCAAGTTGGGAGGCCAAGGCGGGAGGATCACCTGAGCCCAGGAGTTAGAAAGCAGCCTAGGCAACACAGTAAGATCCCATCTCTACAATAACTAACATATATTTTTTTTAATTTACCATTTCTTTGTGTTGGGAATATTCAATATCCTCCTCTAGCTATCTGAAGCTATATATTAATATGAATGTGAGCTATAGCCACCCTGCAGCGTGTAAAACACTAGAACCTATACCTCCTGTCTAGCAGTAATTTTGTATCCTCTAGCAAGTCTCTCCCTATCTCTCCTTCCCTCTAGCCTTTTAAGCCTCTGGTATTCTCTGGCTAACCAGAATTTCTTGAAAAAGTTACCATAATTAAAAATGTGAGCCACGCACAATGGTTCATGCCTGTAATCCCAGCACTTTGGGAGGCCAAGGCAGGTGGATCACTTGAGGTCAGGAGTTTGAGACCAGCCTGGCCAGCATGGTGAAACCCTGTCTCTACTAAAAATACAAAAAATTAGCTGGGCATGGTGGTGCATGCCTGTAGTCCCAGCTATTCAGGAGGCTGAGGCAGGAGAATCATTGGAACCTGGGAGGCGGAGGGTGCATTGAACTGACATCACATCATTGCACTCCAGACTCCAGCCTGGGTGACAGAATGAGACTCTGTCTCCAAAAAAAGAAAAAAAAAATACTGAAAAAGGGAACCATCTATCAAGAAGATATAAAAAATGAGAGCCACAGCCAGGTGTGGTGGCTCACACCTGTAATCCCAGCACTTTGGGAGGCCAAGGTGGGTGGACTGCTTGAGGTCAGGAGTTCAAGACCAGCATGACCAACATGGTGAAACCCCATCTCTACTAAAAACAAAAAAAATTAGCCACGCATGGTGGCAGGTGCCTGTAATCCCTGCTACTCCAGAGGCTAAGGTCGGAAAATTGTTTGAACCTGGGAGGCAGAGGTTGCAGTGAGCCGAGATTGCACAACTGCACTCCAGCCTGGGCAACAGAGCAAGACTCCATCTCAAACAACAACAACAAAAACAGGAGTCCTTAAAACATAGAAAACAAAAATTGGCAAATTATCCAATCTGAGCACAAGATTTCAACATTACAAGTTACAATCGTGATCATATAAAAATCTACACGTAATTACAGAATACACATTATTTTTAAGACCATGGGAAACATAAAAATAGCAGTGAGCTACGATGGGCATTTTCAAACTTCTAAAGAATTGATGCCTGGCGCAGTGGCTCATGCCTGTAATCCCAGGACTTCGGGAGGCCAAGGTGAGTGGATCACTTGAGGTGAAGAGTTCAAGACCAGCCTGACCAACATAGTGAAACCCTGTCTCTACTAAAAATACAAAAATTAGTCAGGTCTGGTGGTGGGCATCTGTAATCCCAGCTACTTGGGAGGCTGAGGCAGGACAATCACTTTAACCTGGAGGTGGAAGTTGCAGTGAGCTGAGATTGCACCACTGTACTCTAGCCTAATTGACAGAGCAAGACTGTCTCAGAAAAATAAAATATAAAATAATAAAAATAAATTGATACCAGGCCAGCCACTGTAGCTCATGCCTGTAATCCCAGCACCTTGGGAGGTTGAAGTGAGAGGATTGCTTGAGGCCAGGAGTTTGAGACCAGCTTTCACATCTACAAAACAATATTAGCCATGCATGGTGGCACATGCCTGTAGTCCCAGCTACTTGAGAGGCGGCGGGAGGATCACTTACGCATAGGAGTGTGAGGCTGCAGTGAGCCATGACTGTGTCACTGCTGGAGTGCACTGGTGTGATCTCAGCTTGCTGCAACCTCTACCTCCCAGGTTCAAGTGATTCTCCTGCCTCAGCCTCCTGAGTAGCTAGGATTACAGGCATCTGCCACCATGCCCCACTAATTTTTTTATTTTTAGTAGAGAGAGGATTTCGCCAGGTTGGCCTTGAACTCCTGACCTCAAGTGATCTGCCCACCTCGGCCTCCCAAAGTGCTGGGATTACAGGTGTGAGCCACTGCACCCAGCCTTGGGTATATATTTGAATGAACTGAAATCTGTATGTCAAATATCTGCACTCCCATGTACCTCTGGGTATATATTTGAATGAACCGAAATCTACATGTCAGAGGATCTCCACCAAGATGACTGAATAGGAACAGCTCCAGTCCGCAGTTGCCAGCGAGAGCAACGCAGAAGGCAAGTGATCTCTGCATTTCAAACTGAGCTCTGAAGGGAGCAACGGATCTCCCAGAACAGCACTTGAGCTCCAATAAGGGACAGAATGCCTCCTCAAGTGGCGCTCTGACCCCGTGTATCCTGACTTGGAGACACCTCACACAGGAGAGCTCTGGCTGACATCTGGTGGGTACCCTTCTGGGATGAAGCTACCAGAGGAAGAAAGAGGCAGCAATCTTTGCTGTTCTACAGCTCATGTGGGTGATTCCCAGGCAAGTAGGGTCTGGAGTGGACCTCCAGCAAACTCCAGCAGACTTGCAGCAGAGGGACCTGACTGTTAGAAGGAAAACTAGCAAACAGAAAGTAGTTTGAACATCAACAGAAAGGACATCCACTTAGAGACCACATCCAAAAGTCACCAACGTCAAAGACCAGAGGTAGATAAATCCATGAAGATGGGACGAAATCAGCGCAAAAAGGCTGAAATCTCCAAAAACCAGAATGCCTCTTCTCCTCCAAGGGATCACAACTCCTCATCAGCAAGGGAACAAAACTGGATGGAGAATGAGTTTGACAATTGACAAAAGCAGGCTTCAGAAGGTGGCTAATAACAAATTTCTCTGAGCTAAAGGAACACGTTCTAACCCAATGCAAGGAAGCTAAGAACCTTGATAAAAGGTTAGATGAAATGCTAACTAGTACAACCAGTGTAGAGAAGAACATAAATGACTTGATAGAGCTGAAAAACACAGCACAAGAACTTCATGAAGCATATACAAGTTTCAATAGCCAAATCAATCAAGCGGAAGAAAGAATAACAGAGACTGACGATCAACTCAATGAAATAAAGCAAGAAGGCAATATTAGAGAAAACAGAGTGAAAAGAAATGAACAAAGCTTCCAAGAAATACGGGATTATGTGAAAAGACCTAATCTACATTTGATTGGTGTACCTGAAAGTGACAGGGAGAATGAAACCAAGGTGGAAAACACTCTTCAGGATATAATCCAGGAGGACTTCCCCAACCTAGCAAGGGAGGCCAACATTCAAATTCAAGAAATACAGAGAACACCACAAAGATATTCCTCCAGAAGAACCCCAAGGCACATAATCGTCAGATTCACCAGGGTTGAAATGAAGGAAAAAAATGCTAAGGACAGCCAGCAAGAAAGGTCGGGTTACCTACAAAGGGAAGTCTATCAGATTCACAGCGGATCTCTCAGCAGAAACTGAAACCCTACAAGCCAGAAGAGAGTGGGGGCCAATATTCAACATCCTTAAAGGAAAGAATTTTCAAACCAGAATTTCATATCCCTCCAAACTAAGATTTGTAACTGCAGGATAAATAAAACCCTTTATGGACAAGCAACTGCTGAGAGATTTCACCACCACCAGGCCTGCCTTATAAGCTCCTGAGCTGGGCGCGGTGGCTCAAGCCTGTAATCCCAGCACTTTGGGAGGCCGAGGCGGGTAGATCACGAGGTCAAGAGATCAAGACCATCCTGGTCAACATGGTGAAATCCCGTCTTTACTAAAAATACAAAAAAAAAAAAAAATTAGCTGGGCATGGTGGCACGTGCCTGTAATCCCAGCTACTCAGGAGGCCGAGGCAGGAGAATTGCCTGAACTCAGGAGGCGGAGGTTGTGGTGAGCCGAGATCGCGCCATTGCACTCCAGCCTGGGTAACGAACGAAACCCCGTCTCAAAAAAAAAAAAAAAAAAAAAAAAAAAAAAAATAATAATAATAATAATAATAATAAAAGCCATTTATTTAGCCAACAAACATATGAAAAAAAGCTCATCCTCATGGGCATTAGAGAAATGGAAATCAAAACCACATTGAGATACTATCTCATGCCAGTTAAAATGGCAATCATTAAAAAATCAGGAGACAACAGATGCTGGAGAGGATGTGGAGAAATAGGAACACTTTTACACTGTTGGTGGGAGTGTAAATTAGTTCAACCATTGTGGAAAACAGTGTGGTGATTCCTCAAGTATCTAGAAATATTAATTCCATTTGACCCAGCAATCCCACCACTGGGTATGTATCCAAAGGATTATAAATCATTCTGTTATAAAGACACATGCAGATGTATGTTCATTGCAGCACTGTTCACAATAGCAGATTTGGAACCAACCCAAATGCTCATCAGTGATAGACTGGATAAAGAAAACGTGGCACATAGACACCATGGAATACTATGCAGCCATAAAAAAGGATGAGTTCATGTCCTTTGCAGGGACATGGATGAAGCTGGAAACCATCATTCTCAGCAAACTGACACAAGAACAGAAAACCGAACACCACATATTCTCACTCATAAGTGGGTGTAGAACAATGAAAACATATGGACACGGAAGGAACATCACACACCAGGGCCCGTTGGGGGATGGGGCATTAGGGGAGGGATAGCGGGGGTTGGGGGAAGAGGGGAGGGATAACATTAGGAGAAATACCTAATGTAGATGACAGGGTGATGGATGCAGCAAACCACCATGGCACATGTGTACCTATGTAACACATCTGCATTCTGCACGTGCCCCAGAACTTAAAGTATACTTTAAAGAAATCCGCATGTCAGGTGTCTGCACTCCCGTGTTCATTTCGTTATTCGCCATAGCCGAGACACAGACAACAACCTCAGTGTCTGTCAACAGATGAATGAATAAAAATGTATATACAATGGAATACGATTCAGCCTCTAAACGGAATGGAATTCTGTCATTTTTGACAACAGGGATGACTCCAGAGAACATTATGCTAAGTGAAACAAGCCAGACAAAGACAAACATCCCATGGTATTCCCTTAAATGTTATGGAGCTGTAATTAGGGAAAATGAGTCAGGCTGGTGGGACTAAGGGAAAGCACAAAGAGGGGAAGCAGGTAAGCTACAAGCCTGCCTTTCTTCCTGATCCAGGACACACAGTCTTCCCACGCCCAGTGATTGCCAGACCCTCAGCTAATAGAAAAACACCAGTTAGCTCACTGCATCCTTCGCATGATCAGTACTTCACGTACCCCTCTCCAGCACACAGCACAAGCACCAGTCTATAAAATCCCAGCAAGCCTTTGTCTCTTTTCAGTCAGCTCCTTTCACTGACCTGCCCGCCTATTGCACCCTTACAATGTATTCTCCTTTCTCTAATAAATCTGCCTTTTTTTCTTTTGTTGAGACGGAGTTTTGCTCGTTGCCCAGGCTGGAGTGCACTGGCGCGATCTTGGATCACTGCAACCTCTGCCTCCCAGGTTCCAGTGATTCTCCTGTCTCAGCCTCCCAGGTAGCTGGGATTATAGGCATGTGCCACCACGCCTGGCTAATTTTGTATTTTTAGTAGAGACAAGTTTTCTCCATGTCTGTCAGGCTGGTGTCGAAACCCCGACCTCAGGTGATTCGCCCGCCTCAGCCTCCCAAAGTGCTGGGATTACAGGCGTGAGCCACTGCGCCTGGCCCATCTGCCTTTCTTGAACAACAAGAAATTCTTATCTCTGTGCCTCGAGAGCCTAGATACTTGTAATCACCTGCGACATACGTGAAATCTAAAATTTCAAACATAGCAATAGAGAGTAGAACATTGGTTATCAGGGGCTGAAGGAAGCGGGGCCTGAGATGGCAAAAGGAGAAATGTTGGTCGGCGGCTAGAGAGTTTGTTTGACGGGAGGAGTAAGCTCTGGTGATCCATTGCACAGCAATGTGACTATCGTTAACAGTGGTGTACATTTCAAAATGGCTAGTGGATTTCCAATGTACTCACCACAAAGACATGGTAAGTATGTGAGGTGATGCATATATTAATTAGCCTCATTTGCTCATTCCCCTGGCAGAGCCCTGAAGATTTCAGCTGTGTGTATTCCTTGGGTGTGACATTGGCTTGGCTGCCCCTGCCCACCCTGGGAGTGACAGCCGGGAGTTCCCTACCTGCCCGCTGTGAAGCAGGTCCCATTAGCAGCACCGATGGTTGAAAATGCCACAAAAAGTGGAACGACCCAAGAAGCTGGATAGAGAACACGGTCACCAAATGTCTGGTGAGAGAAGCGAGATGAGTCCTGAGGGTCTTTCTTGGCCTCCAAGAGCCACCAGCCCCCAAAAGCTATTCAGGCCTCCCAGGGGACCCAGGGACCCACCTCAGCTCAGGGCATAGCCTCCGACTCCTCCACTGCAGAGGAGAGGGGGGAACGCCACTCGCCTGTCTCCAGATCTTGTGATGGCAAGAGAAATCTCTTATCTACTACTCCCTGAGATAAATCTTTATTTTATGTATTTGTTTTGAGATGGAGTTTTGTTCTTATTTCCCAGGCTGGAGGGCAATGGTGATGTCTCCGCTCACTGCAACCCCCGCCTCCCAGGTTCAAGTGATTCTCCTGCCTCAGCCTCCCGAGTAGCTGGGATTACAGGCACCTGCCACCACGCCCAGCTAATTTTTGTATTTTTGTTAGAGGGGGGTTTCACCATGTTGGCCAGGCTGGACTTGAACTCCTGACCTTGTGATCTGCCTGCCTTGGCCTCCCAAAGTGCTGGGATTACAGGTGTGAGCCACTGTGCCCGGCCAAATCTTTATTTTTAAATTTGATGGTTTTTTTTTTGTTTGTTTGTTTTGTTTTGTTTTTTTGAGACAGGATTGCACTCTGTTGCCCAGGTTGGAGTACAATGGTGTGATTATGTCTCAAGGCAGTCTCAACCTCCTGGGCTCAAGCGATCCTCCCATCTCAGTGTTCCAAGTAGCTGGGGCCACAGGCACGCACCACCACACCTAGCTGCATAATTCTTGGTCATGTCAAAATCCTGATTCACCTCTCACTTCCCCAAACCTGCACGCCAACCGAAATGGCTGAATTCTCCCTCCCACCTGAGCAGCCCCAGTCTCGCAGTCAGTGACCTCAGCAGTTAGCCACACTGTGTCTCCTGCACCTTCCAAATCCCCAGCACTTGGCTGGCTGTTGGCAACTGCAGGAGGTCTCCAGCTGCCTCCTCACGGACCCCAGGGCCTCTCACCTCTCAGCTTCTATGATTCATTAGTATTTAGGGTGGTACATAAGTAACTGCCATTTTGCCATTGAAAGGAATGGCAAAAATGGCAATTACTTTTCCACCAACCTAATATAATGACCCCCCCCTCCCCGACTCCCTGGCACTTTCTGCCTCTGCTTCATGCTTATCTGTCAAACTGCAACCCTGGCCAGCCCAGCCCTGCCTCCAGCTCCACGCTGTGTGCACCCAGGCACCTGGTCCCATCTCTGCTGATGCCTGACCTCGTGTGGGGCTCAGGGGCTGCCCTGATTTGTCTGGTCTCCCAGGCTCTTCCGTGACTATTGTCCTCCTTCTCTGGGAGGGACCTCAGCTCCAGTGCTGATACCTGCCTTACCCCTTCCCATAAGCCATGGCCCCTCCAGCAGCGAAATCCAGGCACTCACCACAGCCACGGCCGGGGACTGCAGGAGCTCGGTGGTGGTCATCACGGTGAAGTAGGACACGTTCATGAGGATGTAGCATGCCATCACCAGGGGGATCCCAATGACAATGGCCAAGGGCAGGTTTCTGGGAGGTGAAATGACACAGAGACCCATGGTCAGACCAGAGCCTCCCGTGGAGACAGACACCTTCCCTGAGGCCCTCCCAGGGAGATGATTTGCAGGCAGCAGCACTCCAGCAGGAACATGAGACATTTTCAAATGAGAATGGTGCCTCTGACTCCAGAGCAGTTCACATGGAACTATTTATAAAGCAAAAATAGCCAGAGATAAAGGAAAACCAAACTCTTCCTCCCCTTAGCAGCCACTGCTCTGCCCCAAACCAAACCAAACTCTAGGCGTGCACAGTGAGCTCATAAGAAACCAATCGATGGCCGGGTGCAATGGCTCACACCTGAGAGGCAGAGACAGGAGACATCTTCTGAGGCCAGGAGTTCAGGACCAGCCTGGCCAGCATGGCAAAATCCCATCTCTACTAAAAAAATAAAAATAAAAATTAGTGAGCTCAGATTGCACCACTGCACTCCGGCCTAGGCAACAGAGCAAGACTCCATCTCAAAAAAAAAAAAAAAGAAGAAGAAAGAAAAAAATCATTCACTGTTGGAAAGGGTATCATGGAATAACCAGGGAAACAGCTCCAGCCTTCACCAAGAGAAATCAGCCTGCCCCGCCCTGTCCCCTACACTGACTCAACGTTACCTGTAAGGGTTTTGCAGTTCTTCTGTGATGTAATTCAGTTGATTCCTGGAAGAAAGATACAAGCATGACGCGGCTTGACTTTATTTTTCTATTATGAACCCATAATAATAAATGTTGGCCTCATTTAAGATTCTCTGCCAGAGAGAAAACGCTCCTGCAGGAATTCCAGGTGAATTTCTTTCCAGGTTAATGGCCCTGGCCAGAGCAACACATCTGTCAGCTGGTTGTCTTTGCCCTCCTTGGGAATCACACAGATTTGGAAGAATAATCAGAGTAGTGAGTCCCCAGGGTGCCTTGAAAAAATGGAATATTCTCTGAGAAGAGAATGAAATCTAGAAATGCTTTGCAGGAGAGAAGGACCAGTGTCACAGACTGTCATGCTTCTCCCTTAAAGGACAAAAATGGGCCAGCACTTTGGGAGGCCTAGGCAGGCAGATCACTTGAAGTTGGGAGTTCGAGACCAGCCAGGCCAACATGGTGAAACCTCATCTGTGAAAAATACAAAAATTAGCAGTGCAAGGTGGCAGGTGTCTGTAATCCCAGTTACTCAGGAGGCTGAGTCAGGAGAATTACTTGAACCTGGAGGGATGGGGGTTACAGTGAGCCAAGATCGTGCCACTGTGTTCCAGCCTGGGTGACAAAGTGAGACTCCATCTCTAAAAAGGACAAAAACAATCTCACCCACTAAACCTATAAGTATGTAACATTTGTATGATATTTTGTTTGTAGGACAGCCCCCTAAACCGTAAGTTCAGAGAGGCTCCCAAACCTAATGATTTTCAGGGTTAAATAGAGGAGCTATTGAGTATTCTTTGTTTAATCAAGAGCCTGGGGCTGGGAGTGGTGGCTGACGCCTGTAATCCCAGCACTTTGGGAGGCCGAGGAGAGAGGATTGCTTGAGTGCAGGAGTTTGAGACTGGCTTGGGCAACAGAGAGAGACTCTGTCTCTACAAAACAAAAATAAATAAATCATCAGGGTGTGGTAGCTACTATCTGTGGTCCCAGCTACTCAGGAGGCCGAGGTGGGAAGCTGGCTTCAGCCCAGTTCAAGGCTGCAGTGAGCTGTGATCATGCCATTTCACTGCAGCCTGGGTGACCAAGTGAGAGCCTGTCTCTTTAAAAAAAAAAAAAAAAAACAGCTGGGCATGGTGGCTCACACCTGTAATCCCAGCAGTTTGGGAGGCCGAGGCAGGTGGATCATGAGGTCAGGAGTTTGAGACCAGCCTGGCCAACATGGTGAAACCCTGTCTCTACTAATAATACAAAAATTAGCTGGGCGTGGTGGCAGGCACCTGTAATCCCAGCTACTTGGAAGGCTGAAGCGGGAGAATCACTTGAACCTAAGAGGTGGAGGATGCAGTGAGCCAAGACTGTGCCACTGCACTCCAGCCTGGGCAACAGAGTGAGACTCGGTCTCAAAACAAAACAACAGAAAACCCAAGCTTGGGCCCTGGCTGCCTCTAATTCCGCTGAGCTTGTGTTGGCCTGGTGAGGGTTCTACACAGAGCACTCTGGCTGACTGAGAAGGCGTCTCCGAGAATAAAGGCTCGAGGTTGTCGCATGCTTCACAAAAAGGAAATGTGAGGGTGAGTGTCAGAGTCACACCAAACGCCAGAAAGGGGAGCTCACTGCTTTCCATGACGGCTGGAGTTAAAGTCGCCTGGAGAATCCCACCCACCCCTAGACTCGGGACATCCCAGGACGCCTCACCATCCATCGTAGGCCCAGAGTCCATTGTAAAATGCCAGACTGATGGCTCCCACAGACAGCTGGGCGCCCTCGAAAGAATTCTCAAAATTCTTTGTGTTTCCTGTAATGAAGCCAGACAGTGAACAGCAGGTGTCAGCCAGCCAGATCTTCACGTGAAGACGGGCATGATAATGACCCCAGCTTATTAAACACTCTGAAACTAAGGATCCCTCCCACTGAGTTCCTGCCACGATTCCTTGGAGATGGGTTTGTAGGGCAAGGCTGGTCCCGCTCCCAGTGGAAGGGGTTCTGGCGTGTGCCTGTGCAGGGCCCGCCCTCCTGTGGGTCACCTTGGGCCAGGAGCACGAGCCCGCTGATGATGATGATGGCCACGATCACCAGCTTGGCTGCAGTGAAGATGTTCTGGACATAGCTTCCCAGCCGCACGCTCAGTGAGTTCACCGTCGTGATGAATACTGGAAGGGTGGGGGCAGTTTCTGCATTTATGGTTTTCAACAAAGCCCTGGAGAGAGTCTCCTTTCTTTTATATACTTTGTAACTTTTTACTATTACTTTTTTTTTTTTTTTTTTAGATAGAGTCTCACTCTGTCACCCGGGCTGGAGAGCAGTGGCACGATCTCAGTGATCTCTGCCTCCCAGGTTCAAGCGAGTCTCCTGCCTCAGCCTCCTGAGTAGTTATTATGACAGGTGCACGCCGCCATGACCAGCTGATTTTTGTATTTTTAGTAGAGCTTGTCTGGAGCTTCCAGCAGGGAGGTGCAGCTACTCGTATACCCTTGACCAAAAGCCGGCCCTTCTCTGTCGGGGATGCTTGTCCTCTTCGACTGAGCATGCGGCTTCGGGAGGAAGGGGACACCGGCCTAGCCAGCCAGATCAGCCGAACCAACCCTGGCGATCAATGGGGTGACAGATCGCCCTCACATCCAATTTTTGTAATTTTATGTTTATTTATTTAGAGATGGAGTCTCACTCTGTCGTCCAGGCTGGAGTGCAACGGCACTCTCTCGGCTCACTGCAACCTCCGCCTCCTGGGTATCAAGCAGTTCTCCTGCCTCAGTCTCCTGAGTAGCTGGGAATACAGGCACATGCCACCCCCACCTGCCTAATTTTTGTATTTTTAGTAGAAATCGGGTTTTGCCATGTTGGCAAGCCTGGTCTCAAACTCCTGACCTTAAGTAATGCACCCACCTTGGCCTCCCAAAGTGTTGGGATTACATGCGTGAGCCACCGTGCCCAACCTCTTTTATTTTTTGAGACAGGGTCCAAGGCTCAAGTGATCCCCCTGCCTCAGCCTCCCAAGTAGCTGGAACACCAGCGCATGCCACCACACCCAGCTAATGTTTTTATTTTTGTAGAGGCAAGGGTTTCACTAGGTTGACCAGGCTGGTCTCAAACTCTTGGCCTCAAGCAATCCTCCCACCTCAGCCTCCCAAAGTGGTGAGATTCCAAGTATCAGCCACTGCCTGCAGCCCACCCCTGCTCCCCCACCAGCCACCACATTTACCTCCCAAATCCCAAGAGGGAAGATCCCAATATGGGAGCTTAAGGACCTTTAAAATGCACCTGGAGATGACCTTTGCAATCCAGCTGGGCTGCCTCAGCCAGCAAAAAATTATCAGGGCATGGTAGGCAGCCTCCCGAGTAGCTAGGATTACAGGCACCTGCCAGCATGCCGGGAAAGGAGCCGGGCCCTAAGCCCGACTATGCCCTTCAGGACAGCTTGTGGCCTCCCTCTCTGTAGCCCCCATGGGCATGGGGGTCCCAGTGTGCAGCACCCACAGGTACAGCAAAGGCTGATGCCAGGCCCTGCCTGGCCTCAAACCAGAGACTCTAGCTCACTAGTTGGGGGCTGAGGGCAGAGTCCCCGGACAACCAGGTCTTTTCTGACCCCCACCCTGGGCTTGGGTACTCACAGATGGCAGCAGCAGCCAGGCATTTCACAACAATTTCAGGAGGCTTGCAGCCTGGGTAGAAGGGCGAGCACACGTACTCGGAGAAGCTGAGGCAAATAATGGCAAAGGACGAGGGCTTCATGACGATCAGGCTGGCCCAGGAGAAGAGGTAGGCGGGGATGGGCCCGTAGGCCTCCATCAGGTAGGGGTACTCACCCCCAGACTTGGTGATCATCGTGCCAAGCTCTGCATAGCACAGGGCACCTGGAACGCAGAGAGGAAGGGCCCATAGGCCGCTCGTGAGGCACTGCCCCTACCCCAGGGGCTGTGTTCCCCCGGGGGGCTGTGTTCATATGGAGGGCCACCATAGTGTGCCCTTGCCAGATGGCCCTGAGCTCCAGCCGCTGGACATTCAGACCAGCCTGATTTACACCTGTTTGCCACACAAGAGCCGAGAGGGACCCCGGCAGGGCGAGGGCTGGCACAGATAGCACCTGCCTAGTGTGCCCCACCAGGGAGCCACGTCTCTTTACCCAGCGTCGAGAGGACCCCGCAAGCCGCCCATATGATGAGGCAGGGCCCCACGGCTTCCGTGTTGCTGAGCACAGACTTGGGGGAGATGAAGATCCCGGAGCCGATGATGGTGCCCACGATGATGGAGATGCCACTGATGAGGCCCAGCTGGGTGTGGAGGAAGGGAGAGGGCGTTAGTGCCACGCCCGGGCCCAGCCCAGAAGTCCAGGCGCCGCCCCCCTCCAAAGGGCCAGGGGAAGCCCAGCAAAAGCCCATGCCCCAGGTGCTTCCAGCCTGGGCGGCTGCTGTGGCAACAGCAGGACACCGCTCCCCGGGCTTCGCTCACGTTAACTCAATGAATTCTCGTGACAGCCCCATGAGCTGGCCACACTGTACCACCCCCATGGTACAGAGGAGGACGCTAAAGCACAGAAAGGTTAGGAGGCTGCTAGAAGCGACTCATGTTCCGCCCCTAACCATGATCCTGTGTCCTCAATGGAAAGGCCGACTTGGCAACAGCTTGCCAATGAGAAAAGTCCTCAGGAAACACCTCTGCTCTGGGCAAATGAGAAAGGAGTGTGCCACCAAAGCCGAGGAAGTCAGGGCCTGGAATCCAGGCCAGAGGGGCCGTGCGGAGTGAGCAAAGGGGGCCTCCCAGAAACAGAAAAGTCGTGGGGACTGTGAACTTTCTGTGGTGCCATTTTATCTTATTTTTGTTTGTTTATTTAGAGTCACTGTCTCTCTCTGTCGCCTAGGCTGGAGCACAGCTGTGCAATCATAGTTCACGGCAGCCTCAAACTCCTGGCCTCAGACAATCCAGCTCAGCCTCCCAAAGTGCAGTGAGTCACTGTGCCTGGCCCTGTGCCGTTTGCTAGGATGTGAGCTTTCTCAGAACAGAACCAAGCTCAGAGAGACATCAGATGGTTCCATTCCTGTGAAGTTCAAGAACAGGTGACTCTAATTGAAAACCCTATGAACTCAGGGCTGGGTCCCTGCCTAGAAAGGGGCAGGAGGGGGCTTTCTGGGGTGGCACATCTGTCAAAACCCATCAAACTTGGCACTAAAGATCTGCACATTTCAGCCACGGGCGGTGGCTCATGCCTGTAATCCCAGCACTTTGGGAAGCCGAGGCAGGCGCTTTACCGGAGGTCCGGAGTTTGAGACCAGCCTGGCCAACATGGTAAAACCCCATTTCTACTGAAAAATACAAAAATTAGCCAGACGTGTTGGCGCACACCTGTAATCCCAGCTACTTAGGAGGCTGAGGCAGGAGAATCACTTGAACCTGGGAGGCGGAGGTTGCGTTGAGCCAGTCACTACACCTAAGTGACAGAACGAGACTGTCTCAAAAAGCACTGCACATTTTATTGCATATAAATTACACACCAATCAACGACGAGGGAAAAAAGAAGCCCAACTGAGGTCCTACTCATAACACCTGTCTTCAGAAGCGGCCCCAACCAGATCTCCAGAGCCTGAAGTTTCCAGCACCTGTGTTCACCTGGGAAGAGGCTGGGCTTGGAGTCAGATCGCAGGGGACGAGGGGCTCCCAGCTGCAGGCTGCCACCCTGGGGATGCTGCACACACAAGCAGGATCCCTGGGGCGCAGCATCAGCTTTCAGGGACAAGGCACACTTCCAGGGCAGGGAGGGACGGGCTCAGTCCTCCTCCTCGTCTTCGCCCTACCCAGGGCTTTGGTTTGGCTCCGGAATCCTCCCTCCCTTCTGCTGAGGGACTGCCTGGGTTCTGATCTGGGTGAGGTCTGCATTCACCCTGAGGTTTCCTGCCTGAGAGGTAGACCTAGCTCAGTTTTCCGTTTTTAGACTCAAGGTCTCGCTCTGTCGCCTAGGCTTAGAGTGCAGTGGCACGATCATGACTCACTGCAGGCTAATCTCCTGGGATCAAGCAAGCCTCCCACCTCAGGCTCCCCAAAGTGCTAAGGTTACAGGCTTGTGCAGCCACACCTGGTCCCAGCTCAGAAGACACATCTGGGGATTTCTCAGCTGTGTTGAGGCTCTTGCTAGGATCTAGCCTAAGACTGGCAGAGAGGCAGGGGGCTGCAGCCCATCGTCTACCTCCTGGGGACCTCAACCCCAGGCCAAGCCATTTAGGCCATGCCAGCCCCCAGTCAAGCCCTAAAGCCTTGGTGCCGTCCCTCCTCCATCCCCTCTGCTGCCAGGCACGGGAGCTCTCAGAGGCCCCGCCCAGACCCCGGCTCTGGAAGCAGAAGCTGTCCTGAGCTCGCCGGAGGCTGCCTTTCCTCATCCTGGGAGCCTGAAGCCCTCCTGCGCCTCCACGCTGAGTACCTCTGCTCCCAACTGCCTGGGCCTGGTGTAGTGTGCTGTGTCCAGCTCCCTTCTGCCTTCACCCCAGCCCCAAGGCTCCCTTTCCCTCCAGACCCAGGGCCAGCTCCAGCTGCTCACTGCAGCCCAACTCAGGGCTGCCGTCCCTGCTAGACGCCTGTAAGACAGAACGGGCTCTGCTGGGAGCAATACTTCCCATCACGACAGCCATTCAGACATAAGAGGGACAGGTATTTTGAGGGGAATCAACCATCAGAACGCCCTCTCTGGCTGGGCACAGTGACTCACACCCAGGCTCCCAAAGTAATCCCAGCACTTTGGGAGCCCAAGGTAGGAGGGTCACTTGAGCCCAAGAGTTCCAGACCAGCCTGGGCAACATAGCAAGAGCCTGCCTCCACAGAAAAAAATTTCTGAAAGTTAAAAATTTGGCAATGCCTCTGTAATCCCAGCTACTCAGGAGGCTGCGGCAGGAGGATCGCTTAAATCTGGGAGGTGGAAGTCGTAGTGAGCTGAGATCGCACCACTGCACTCCAGCCTTGTTGACAGAGCAAGACTGTCTCAAACAAACAAAACCATGCAGAGTTCCCTGGGAAGAGGGAAAGAGGTGAGTCCAGAGATTGTCCCCTTAAAGATGTACTTTACAAATTAAAGAGCACCTCTTCTGCCCTGTCACTAGAGATCAGCAAGGACTTCACTGCCTGTGCCCCCCGTTCAGATGCCCTTGCCTAACCTGCAAAGGCCCCGCCCCACCAGAGGCCGCCTTACCTCCTTTTGGAGACTGGTGGTCTTGGGCTCTTGGCTCTGGATGGACTTCTCATCCTCTCTCCGCTTTCTCAGGCCGGTCTCCCCCATGTTTCCTCCTGCTGGTTCCAGGAGACTGCAAGGAGGACGCACAGTTGAATCTTGGTTCAGCAGAAGTGCAAGTCCGGCCTGGACTAGGGGAGCTGGCTCCAAAGCACAGTGTTGGTTATTGCTGGAGGTGGGTGCCGGTGCCAGCCCCGCAGGGCTCATGCGCTGGGCCCCAGAGTCCAAGTCAGTCATTCACGTCGTCCAGGCAAGGGAACGCAGCTTCCTGCTAATCTCCAAAGCACAGCTGCTTGCTTAGCTCTCTCCTAGACAGGCCCTGGGAGCCTCCTGGCCCATGTGCCTGTGCCTTAAAAGTCATTCTACCTCTGTGGTCCAATTTCATTTATTTTCAAAAGTAAAAAGAAATATTTAACAACATCCTGGGCCGGGCGCAGTGGCTCACACCTGTAATCCCAGCACTTTGGGAGGCTGAGGTGGACGGATCACTTGAGCCCAGGAATTCAAGAACAGCCTGGCCAACATGGCAAAAAACCGTCAATACTAAAAATACAAAAAAAAAAAAAAAAATTAGCTGGGTGTGGTGGTGGGTGCGAGAGGGAGGGAGAATAACTGAGAATAAGGCAGGAGAATCACTTGAACCAGGAGGCAGAGGCTGCAGTGAGCTGAGATCGTGCCATTGCACTCCAGCTGGGGTGACAGAGCGAGACTCCGTCATACAAAAAATTTAAAAATTTAAATATCCTGGAATGTATTTATCAGAATCAAGTCTAGGGAAGGAAAGTTTGTCTTATAATTCCTTCCCAAGATTAAAGGCACCCCATACATCATAGATCCACAATACAGGTACTTTTTCTTTCTACTTTTAAAATTTTTACAATATTTTTTGTAAAGATGGGGTCTTGCTGTGTTGCCCAGGCTGGACTCCAACTCCTGGACTCAAGCAGTCTCCTCACCTCAGCCTCCCAAAGGGCTGGGATTACAGGCATGAGCCCCCATGCCTGGCCAGGTACTTTTTCACTGAGTCATGAAAGGAATGAAAAAATTGCTGAGGAAACCCAGTTTCAGACTGAATTAGGAGATACCCACGCACCACTGTACCCTCTCTCAATAAATTCTCTGTCCAGGCGCTGGCCAGGAGAGCCATGAGCCTTCCTGTCACCCACAGACCTTACCTTCCTCCGTGACCCTGCAGAGCCGGAGGAGCCGCAGCCCAGCTGACCACCCGTGCCTGCACGGTCCAGCCCTAGGAATGGCCATGTCTTGTGCCCAGGAATGGAGGAAGTCAAGAAGGTACAGAGGTCAATAGGGGTAATTATTAAACACCTTTTTTTTTAAGCAATGAAGCATAGATACGCCACATAAAAAGGGGAGGGTCAGGCAGATCAATTTCTCTCCGAAACCATTTTTGTTTTGTTCATTTGTGTCTAGGTCATTTTTTAAAACCAGACAGTCCCAAATCAGCTACGTTTTACCCAAAGGTAAAATAAATTAGGCCTTCTTTTATCTCTTGGAATCAGAGGAGATAAACTTTGGAACCAATTCTCTAATTGCCTTAATGGGCTGTATTTAAAACTCGGAAGTCAGGCAGCGCAAACAGGAACTGCTGTGTGTGCCTAACTCTGCTGTTGGTCAGTTTCCTCCCTGCCCATGAATTTCCCCCAGCCCTGGGCCTGCCAATGGCTGAGCAGGTGAGAGTGGCCGAGCCTTTCCCACTCACCTGTACCAGTGACAGGGCTTCACCACTTGGAACCACAAGCAGTCCTGAGGCAACACAGGCCCGTGTCCTCCCTGCAGCTGTGGCCAAAAGCTAGTCAGGTCTGGCTGTGGTACTGTTCACGTAGCCATGTCATGGCTCATCAGACACAAGGGACGCAACACCTTGCCCATCAGGGAAACGGAGGTCTACACGGGAGACGGGAAACACAAGGCCAGGGAGCTCCGGTCCCCATCCAGGGCTGCCAGGGTCTGGATCTCTCCAGGAGGGAGCACAAGTTCTCCCCACATTGCTATCGGACCTAGGCTCAGGCAGCAGCCGCAGGGGTCAGTGCTAAGCCCTGTCAGGGAAGGAAGCTCCTTATGAGACAGGCAGGAGAATAGCCTGGTACAGCCTGAGCACTGCGTCTGAAGCATCGTGGCTGTCATCTTCAGCCAAAACTCTGGTAGCTTTGCCTTTGGGCAAATTTAACTGCATCTCAGATATTGGATGGAACATAAGGCCAGTGATGGAAGGAACTGGGCCAGCCTCTGGGGGTCAGTTTGGGGCAAGCAGAGCGGAGAGAGGGACAGGTTTCTCTGAAGGCCATCTGCACAATGCAGGGACCCTTGGTGTCCCAGAGGCAGGGTCCTGATTTAGAAGTTTGTCACCTCCCATCTTGGGAGGGCCCAGCCTGTTCACCTGCCTGCCACGCCCAGACCCCTGAGTAGACAGCCTGGAGAGTAGAAGCCAGGGGCTGGCACCCCAGATAGAACCTGCCCAGGGTTTGCTGGGGTCACTCCTCCTAGCGCTGTGGCACTCATCATAGCACCTGGCACATCCTTTGCAGAACACCACAGAGACGCCCTGCGTCAAAAGTGCCCAAGCAGACAGTGGCCTCCGCTGGGGCCAGACAGCCCTGCAACCTCACCCACTACCTACAAGGGCTTGGCTGCCCTGCCAGGATCAGCGTCTGAATCTGCAAAGTGGGGCTAGCAATGGGCGCCCCCTCATGGAACACGCTGAACTTGCACATTCCATGGAAGTCCAGGCCTTGGTCTTCCTGAGCCTCTGCCAATGGCAGGGTGTGAGGGAGGGTCTTTGTTAAGTCAGAAACCTCCACTTGAGTTCGTTTTGGGTCCACAGTGAGCGTTTCTAAAGGCTGTTTCTTAAAGCTATGTTTTTCACCCCAGTCCCCACCTCTCCCTCCTTGAATACACAGAGAGTATTCGAGTAATTCTCATAAGCTTCTTCTCGTGGAAAATACTGAGGATTTGATCTAAAAAGCAGAATCTTCCCCAGTTCTTGAAGATGGTTGGTTCATTGTGCATCCAGCGCTTCTGCCATGTGGCTGAAGTTTCACCTCCCTGCTGTCGATTCTTTTTTTTTTTTTTTTTTTTTTTTTGAGATGGAGTCTCACTGTGTCACCCAGGCTGGAATACAGTGGTGCAATCTCAGCACACTGCAGCCTCCACCTCCTGGGTTTAAGCAATTCTCCCTGTCTCGGCCTCCCGAGTAGCTGGGATTACAGGTGTGTGACACCATACCCGGCTAATTTTTGTATTTTTAGTAGAGACAGGATTTCACCATGTTAGTCAGGCTGGTCTTGAACTCCTGACCTCAAGTGTGATCCACCTGCCTCGGCCTCCCAAAGTGCTGGCATTATAGGCATGGGCCACCGCACCCAGCCTACCACTCTATTTCTTGACCTTCACTTTCAACCTGTGCTTTTCCCTTCTGATTGCAACAATGCTTGCAGTTTGAAGACATTCACAGCATCTGCATTTTATCTTATATTTGGTGCATATCTTGTTTCAGTTGGGGAGGGGAAAATTCTTCCCTTAACCCTTCTGGATTCTTTGGTTGGGCTTCAAATTGAGACGAATGGGAGGGAAACTTTTAATTTTGTGTATATGCAACAGAGTCCCACGAAGCAAGATACTTGAAGAAAGGCCAGAAGACTAAAGCTTATCTAGCATCCTGAGCTATATAAAGATTAGGGGCTTGGGGTTTCCTAGGCTGTTGGAGACTAGTAATGGGATGCAAGGGAAGGAAATGCATGGTGAATAAAGGTCATCTGGTTATGCAAATATGTCTCTCAGGTAATAAACATTGTCTCTTCCTGGTAGATACTTGTACTCATGTAAATTTCCTTCATGACATAATTTCTTTTGCAAAGGGCAGCTTTTCAGAGCTACACCTGTTGTGTCTGCAGTTTCTTAGAATAACCGGCTCAACATATTCTAAAGAGGTATATTTTGGGGTGACATACATGGGGTCTTCTATAGTCATATTTTGGCGGTTCTATGTCCTGAGCCCCAGCGTTTCCTTCTTCTGTGATGGTTTGTGTTTAACCAGGCTAGAGTGCAATGGCATGATCATGGCTCACTGCAGCCTTGACCTCCTGGGCTCAAGGGATCCTCCCATTTCAGCCTCTCAAAGTGCTGAGATTAACAGGCATGAACTATTGCACCTGGCCTCCTGTGATGGTTTTAAAGACATCTTTAATCCCATAGTGTCAACCCATTTCTGCACAGCCTCTGGGATGCCCAGCTGGGCACCGTGTTCTCTAATTCACTGTCCTCATGACAGAGGCAGGGTCTTGGACAAACATTCAGGCAGAGGCTGTATCTTCCTTCACTACTCAAAGCTTGTTCCAGACCTGCCTTCAAGTTTTCAGACTTTCTCCTATTCATTAAGTTCACTCAGTCTTATATTCCTTCCTGCTGCTGCTGCCAGTAGTATCTGGGGATTTGGAGGGGGACCCAAAAGACAGGTATACCTGGCATATGACCACACATAGAAGTGGTGCTCCCTTACCTCCTGAATTCCAACCAGGAGAATTTGTGATGAATCAGTGGTGTACAAAGACTTTCAACGTCAGGGACAAACTGTCTAACAATAAAACAATTAGCAAGGAAAGCATAATAATTTCAAAACTCTTATCTAGGAACAATCTATATATATCCAGCAATTATTGGAAAGTACAATTCTGCCTTTGAACTTTGTCCATCATTTTAATGTGTTCCAAGTAATATGGTTTTACAGGAAATTACCTGCTTGCAGAAGCCAGCGAGTCACAGCACGCCATCAAAACACGACTTCCCATCTGCTCCCTTCCCCACCGACCTCATCACTGTTCGTGGTCACTGCCCCTTTTCTCAACCATGGTGGCCACACGTGATGAAAAAGCTGTGTTTGCTGCTGAAGTTGGGGAAAGAGGGTTCTGTGTCATCAAAGATCTTTTTTTCTTTTTCTTTTTTTGAGACGGAGTTTCGCTCTTGTTACCCAGGCTGGAGTGCAATGGTGCGATCTCGGCTCACCGCAACCTCCGCCTCCTGGGTTCAGGCAATTCTCCTGCCTCAGCCTCCTGAGTAGCTGGGATTACAGGCACGCGCCACCATGCCCAGCTAATTTTTTGTATTTTTAGTAGAGACGGGGTTTCACCATGTTGACCAGGATGGTCTCGATCTCTCGACCTTGTGATCCACCCGCCTCAGCCTCCCAAAGTGCTGGGATTACAGGCTTGAGCCACCGCGCCCGGCATCAAAGATCTTTAATAAAGAGCTATTATTTTTTGGGCTGGGTACTGTGGCTCACACCTGTAATCTCAGCACTTTGGGAGGCTGAGGCAGGGGGACTGTTCAAGGTCAGGAGTTTGAGACCAGCCTGGGCAACATAGCAAGCCCCTCCCTGTCTTTACAAGAAAAAAATTTTTAAATATTAGCCGGGCATGGTGGTGTACACCTATAGTCCCAGATACTCTGAGGAGGCTGAGGTGGGACGACTGCTTGAGTCCAGGAGTTCAAGGCTGCAGTGAGCTACAATCGTGTCACTGGACTGGGTGACAGGTCGAGACACTCTAACATAGGGAGCTGCCATTTTATGTAATCTTGTTTCTGTCTGCCCAGCACCTGCAACTTGGGGGAACTGTCCCTTGATGGGGGACACTGGTGGGCTACCAACCAAAGGACCTCACTTCTCTGGCCACACAAGAAGACTCAGGACATCAGCTCAGCCAAGAGGCCATTGTCTCCCAGGATTTGCTATCTGAGTGAAGCAAGCACAGGGTAGGCTGACAGTGTTCAACTACTGAGAATCACCCTCGGCAATGGCTATTCTGGCTTCTGTCCTTCTCAAAATGTGGTGGGAACCACCAAGTGTACATTTCCAAAATATTTCCTTCTTTCCCTTAACATTGGGCAGTATAATTTATTTCTGTTGCTTGCAACCCAGCCCTGGTATGCTACATATACTACACACAAACCTCTCACTTTAAAATAATTATTCTTAAATAAAATACTCAGGACCCTCCTGACCAGGGGAAATAGATGCTCCAGGCTCCTGATGACTCCAGGCGGCAATGCTCTCACCTCGGTGCACTCTTCCTCTCTCATCTATACCCTCTGTAGAGTGCTGACACACAGGTGGACTACAGAACAAGGGGATGGGGGCCCAGAGCACCCAGCACAGATGCGAGGAGCCAGCCTGGGTCCTCAGCAGCAGGTGGCTTGCTCAGTTCCAGGAAGTGGCCTCATGCACTCCATAGTTCGAGGTCTCCTTAGCCCAGCCTGAGTCCTCACTACCTCTGTTCTGTTGTTTATAGACACTGGGCCTGCAAAGCAGCCCAGCAGGGTCCTGCAGGGGAATATCAACTATAAAAGCTGCCCTTCTTTCCCTCCAGCCCCCTCCCACCCAGCCCACCCCCAGTCAAAAATGAGGAAAAGAGACAAGTCTGAGGCTGGGCACGGTGGCTGATGCCTGCAGTCCCAGAACTTTGGGAGGCCGAGGTGGGCTTATCACTTGAGGTCAGGAGTTCGAGGCCAGCCTGGCCAACATGGCGAAACCCCGTCTCTACTAAAAATAAAAAAATTAGCCGGGCGTGGTGGCACGTGTCTGTAATCCCAGCTATTCAGGAGGCTGAGGTGGGAGAACTGCTTGAACCTAGTAGGCGGAGGTTGTAGTGAGCTGAGATCGCACCACTGCACTCCAGCCTGGGTAACACAGCAAGACTCCATCTCAATTTAAAAAAAAAAAAAAAAAAAAAAAAAGGGCTGACCCTGGGAGGCTGGAAGAGCAGCATGTTTCCCACCCAGCTTAGGGGCTATGGACTCACACCTCAAGAAAATCACAAGGCCCAACCACCTATACCCATCCCCTCTCCCCATCCTGGCTGCAGCCACTCCTGACCCCAGCCCAGCTGTGACCCGGCAGAGGTGCCACAAACCTGGCCACACTGAGCCCTCCCCATGCCACCCAGCCCCTCCCAGCCGCGTTCTGAGTGGACAATGTTTCCTGTCTTACTTAAGAATTCAGGTATCAGGCTGGGCGTGGTGGCTCAAGCCCGTAATCCCAGCACTTTGGGAGGCCGAGGCGGGTGGATCGTGAGGTCAAGAGATTGAGACCATCCTGGTCAACATGGTGAAACCCCGTCTCTACTAAAAATACAAAAAAAACATTAGCTGGGCATGGTGGCACGTGCCTGTAATCCCAGCTACTCGGGAGGCTCAGGAAGGAGAATTGCCTGAACCCAGGAGGTGGAGGTTGTGGTGAGCCGAGATCGCGCCATTGCACTCCAGCCTGGATAACAAGAGTGAAACTCCTCTCAAAAAAAAAAGAAAAAAAAAAAAAAGAATTCAGGTAGCAGCCCAGCCCCATCCCAAGAGGCTCAGCCTTCTGCTGTGGGATCTGCATCCAGTTTAATCCCTGCCTGCTGGAAGGGCTGCCAGGCCCAGGGAGGGCTCTCCTGAGCCACCCACACTGGCAACTGTGCCTTTCACTCCCGCTGATGACACAGGTTGGGAGGGGGTGAGGAGCAGTGACAGCTGTGCTCCAGGGGCCAATTGTTGTCTACCCTTTGCCTTAAATCTCCTTCCTCTCAACAGTTACTGGTAACACCATCAAGTGTTGATGAGGACGTGGAGCAATCAGAACTCAAGCAGGGCTTGGTGGTGAGAAAATAAAATGACACAAGCATTCAGGAAGCAGGCCTGGCTATTTCTTTTTAAATTGTGTAACAAAATTCACCATTGTCACTATTTTCCAGCATACGGTTCAGTGGCATTAAGTCTGCTAAGGACAGCTCTCATGACAGACTCACACCTACACCTGTGTCCCAGCCTGCTCTGTCCACTGTCTCCATTTCCCCAGGGCATTTACTTTTTATTTTATCATTATTTTGAGACAGGGTCTCACCTGGTTGCCCAGGCTACAGTACAGTAGCACAATCATAACTCACTGCAGCGTCTACTTCACAGGCTCAAGTGATCCTCCCACCTCAGCCTCCTGAGTAGCTGAAACCACAGGCGCCACCATCATGCCGAGGGCCGCTTTTAAATAATGGCAAAGGCAGCAAGGCTCACTCGAGTGCCTGGGTCATGTTATACAG